CATTTTTGCATTGGCTTTGTTTTTGTCATATTGTCTCTGTGATATAAGTTGTCTCTTCGCTGGTGATCTCTGGAATGGCGAGCAGTGTCCAGGAAGCCCTATATATACCCCTGCACCGACGCGGGCGCCACTGACGCGCAGTAGTCATGAACTGCTCGTGAACTCGTCGCAAACTGCTCGTGTCATGAACAAACTGTTAATGAAGTGCGTAAACTAGTCACGAACTGCTCGTGCCATCAATGCGTGAAGTACACGCGAGAAGGCACCAATTCGTGAACTCGACGTGAGCTGTTCGTGAACTATTCGTGGCTGTTAGTGATAGTCGTGGCATGACGCGCACCGCAACGCACTGGCACGCATCGTCCCGACGAGTTCACGAACAGTTTGCCCATAGTTCACAACCCGGTCGCTAAATTTTGTCGTGACCAAAATTTTGAACATTTCAGAATTCTCGTCCCGACATGGCACGCAGTCACGACGGGTTTACGCACACTTCACGCCAGTTTATGACTAGTTTGCAAGCTGGAACGACTCGAATCGTACCAATGCGTGCCACAGAATCGTGCAAGTGTCAGCCTTGCTTTATTTTACGTCCGCAATATTCTGAGGCGTTTCAAACTTGGTGATGCGTGGTTTCATGTCGATACATCTTCTAAACAATAAATTTAGTCGGGTAATGACAGTCAATAATATTATTCTTTTTTGAGCGGTTATTTGGCGGATATTGCTGTCATTCTTTACTGCCTGTCTCTTCCCTGTATTAGTCATCAGTTCGAGCGTCCGTGATCATGACAGCTGGAGTTCGTGCGGTCGTATTTGTTTTGAATGAGTGACTGGGTTGGTATCAGGTTGAGCGATTGTATTGAGATCAGTTCAAATGATTATTAAGTGATTATATTGGCACCGGGTTGCGAGCGTGATGTAAACATACTGAGAAGTCTCGTATTTTGTCCCCGTCTGTAAAATGCATAGATATGTTTGAAGACACATGAGCAAAATCATAGTTGGTGTAACATGAGACAACTGGTCATAAACAAAATGTAGCGTTGTTTTGCCGATCGTGAAGAATCGCCGATGCATTTTTTGCGGCCTTTCCACAGTTCCAAATTGCCAGATTGTCTTCCGTATGTGGCTGAGTATTGAAAAAAATACAGTTGGTCGTACTATTTATGTAGCTTATCACTTTATTCAGTTACAATGTGTATTTGACGCAGGCACCTCAGCCGATTCACACCCGTTCTTTCGACGTACAGCGCGGAGCCGACACGGAGCCTCCACCTCAAGCATGGGTTGGTCTGTGCAAAATATTGAAATCATTATTTTAAGTCCTACAGTCTTATCAATTTAGTTTTAAGCCCAGACACGTACCGCAAATACAGTTACTATGTTTTCAAACGTGTGACGGTTGGAAATCTATGTTTATATTATACTGAGAGCACAGCTTGCATCATACACACGGATATTACCGCGCATTTCACTGTGGCCGTATTTTATATCTGTTTCTTCAGTGTGGTACAATAAGAAAATGGGAAAACAAATTAATGGATTGAAATTATCTAATTAGCCATGTTCAGCCATCAAGTTACAGATTGTAAAATGTCAGCTCAATCTCTGGCTGGGAAGAACGTCTTTTACTGTACAATTTTGTCCGTGATGCAGCTATGACGAGCAGTTTTACTGGACAGAAGATTGACGAATACATCCCTAGTATTTCCAGAGAAGGCACTTAAAGAAACGTTCACTATATAACATCTGCCAAGGTGTAGTGGTGAGACGATAGTCAAATAAACAAACATTGGCTGGCGATGGTATGGGAGCTGTTGTTTTTTACAACCCAAAGGAATTAAGTGACCACTTACCATAACATTTGAGTTTGTACTCCAGTACGTCATTGAGAATAATTAGGACCCCTGAAAGTACAACTTGTGTAGCCGGTTTGACCGGAAGCTTTATATAAATATAGATGTGTATATTGATAGCAAGATTGCCAACATAAACTTCTGCAACTGATTTAACGTAATACTAAACTAAATTGAAACTGTACATATACATACCACTATCGTGCATACTAAGCCTAAGGGGCGTTGATTTGTGTCATATATATCTGACCAAGGATTGTAGATTTAAATAGCTCAACTTCCTGTATCTACTTTACGTCGAAAACAAAAACGTGCAGTCAGTCCTTCCATCAAGACTTAGTTATAAGCCACATTAGTCTTTTAGTACATGACAGTGGGTAACTAGTAGATACATTTCTCCTACGCTATGGGATGTTTTTAATAATAAACGAATATCATGTGTAATAAGGATTCAGTAAATGTATCTTCCCAATGTCAGTATGATGAGTGAAATAATGGTCAGATTATTCCTTCTTAGATTTGTGTGACGTGACTAACTTTAGTGTTTTTCAGACAAAAAGGCTTGTGATAAATTCAATAAAGATGAACTAAATTGAAACTTAGTTATTTTGTAGTACGAATACATGACTAAACATGGTCTGTATTATGATAACGTGCTTAATAACCCTTAAACAACAGATAACACGCGCGTGCAACCTGTTCAATCTATTTTGTAAACACGGAATGTGAATAAAAATAATACAATTCATGTTTCTACTTCACATTGTAATGTGATACTTGGGTATTTAGGGTTCAAAGAGATTTATTTCTGAATTACTCAAATGACGCCAACAAATGATATTCGTTGATAGTTTGTCGCTCGTGAATCGGGAAGTTTTGTCGACCCTCATGATGATGATTATTTGGCCACATACTGAAATCACAGTTTCAGAGATATTAAGGAAAGCTAAGGTGAAAATTATTTTGAACAGCAATAATACAATTTTATTTTTCTACTCGACGTACTGGACAAACAATCGCGATGAATTTCCTGCAATTAGACCAAATTACAATTTAGTTAGATGTTTTTGGTATAAAGAATATTTATATTTACAGCGGAAATCCTTTCAGCTTAACACTTCAACACGAGCAGTTTGTTTAGCGACTCACTGAAACAATCATAAGGTCTCAGTGGTACAGCTGGTATAGTACTGTACAGGTCGCACGTTTTTATCCATGCAGTGCGATGACTAGTATGACCCCGAACACTCGAATTGAATGGCTTTTTAACAAAATCATTCAAATGCGTACACATATTCGCAAAAGAAGAAAAAGAACATTCCGAGTACAAAAACATCAAAAGATTTGCCCGGAGATTCGCCAGCATGATCGACGGGGGACTCTCAAAAGAAGTTAAAACATTTTGCGTTTATCTTTTGACTTTTTAAACAATATGCTCTAATATTTTCGATTTTATAAAGCCTAAACACCGTAAGTGTAAACACGTGACTATCTGTCAATTATAACGTTTTATGCTGCAGCATGTGTAGCTAATTTCAATTCAAGAGCCCCTTTGGAAGTGCGAGTTGTTGCATTTAAAGAAATTGACATCAACAATGTTTATAATTGAAGCTGCAAGGTGGTTTGTAAATCTAAATTGTCATTATGCTGATAAACTATAACTGATATACCTACTGTGATATGATCACTTCAGAGAATTGCACATGTGCAATAAATATTAATCAAGTAATCAAAATGTTGATATGTAAATTATCATAGCCAATTTGTCTTCACTTAGCCATTACCCGAGTCTCGTTGATATTTCTTCACATATGGCCGGTATATGCTAACGTTACATTTCGATGTGAATGTGTTCTTCCGACTCTTACATCCAGCAAACTCTAGAGAATCTTTCCAAAGGGAATCTCATGTTGTTGAGTTCGTTATTTATTCCGTTCAGAAAAAAACGGTTTCATTAGTTTCCGAACTAGTGTGTGCTTAGAACTGAAAACGGCGCTATGCTGACTGTGTCAAACATTTATTTTATTTTTAAAGTACAATATGGCGAAGTCACGTGACCGAAACGGCAATGAGCAACATATCTTTACGCAAAATCCAAGATGGCAGCCAAACCAGGTGACTGGTCAATATTATTTTATTTCCTATAACAAACTTTGGCCATTAATACTACATGTATAATTTCAAGTCGATTGGTGACAACGCTTACGAAAAACAACAAAATGCTAATTTTTTGGCCATTTTGCCGGAGACCTAAGAAAATGGCCCAACCACAAAACTGGTGAATATTATTTTAGTTTTCTAATGTCATAGGTTACTACAAGCACAATTTCAAGTCGATTGATTAAAGCGGGAGGGTCGTCACCTGCGCACGCGCGGGAATTGAGTCCCAAGCGACGATAACACACGCTAAAACGGAAAGGCTCATGGGTAGATAATGACCATGACAACAATGGCACGCTATGGCTATGTGACGACTCCCCCCCGCTTTTAAGCACTCATGAACAACAAAGATAAACATGTTCGCCATTTCGCCGGAAATTCAAGATGGCGGTCAAATTGCGAATTCATTTTCTTTCTGGAGAGTTTCAACATAGCAAAAGTACTCTCGGTTCAGGAGAAATCTAAGATGACGGCTAGTCTACGTGTTCAATCATAAAGAGGTTTGTAAACAGTAATGCCCTCTAAGCCATATCAAGGCTTACGCACTGTGATATTGTATGCAGCATGAACATTCACGGATGTTGTTCCCTTACACTAGTTTGATAATAATTAAGGGTTAAAATAAATACTGTATACCCAGTAATTATATTCAGATTAATCTATTGTTATTGAGTAACCTGTGGAGAATTTTTCTCTGCAAAAAGACAGTACCAGTTACTGTAATACAATATGACTCGTAGTTGGCTAAGCCACATATTGTATTCATTGGCAGTAATATAATAGTAATATCATGCAATTGTTAAAGAGAAACAAATTTAAATGTAAGACAAATTACTTGAATTCATCAATTACCCTATTGCTTGCGTAACTCATTGTTGTCACATTTTGAATAATGATCATATACTAGAAAATCGATTATTTGATGAATGCGAATATATGAATCGAGTTTCTGATAGTAATATCCAACAATTAAAAATGTTCAATGTCACACATTGGTATTTTTATTTCATAATGAGCACTTTGACCAGATGATCATCTTTTTATTGGCTTACAATTAATCGTATTTGTCGATAATACATGCAATACACTATTTCATGAACTTCGAATTCACAAAAAACACTTCAATGCAGCCTGAGTGTCTGCCCAGGTCATCGAAATCGAACTGACCACACGAATAGGGAACTTCGTGAACATTCCATAGGTAAAAACCATGATCATTGAAAGCCATTAAAATGTTTTTATTTATGTCTTGAAATTTGTGTTCTTGGTCCTCTGGTGCAATTCCAAATATGTGAAACTCGAATGCTAGTTGTTTCACATTATTAAGTGTTCCAGTTTGCAACATCTGTGGGATTGCGGCGTACTCCGATTTCTCGATGTCAAACTTCAAGTACTCAATGATTCTCTGGAAATAATTGTCACAATAACGACGTAATTTGTATTTTCAGTGTTAAATATCTAATAGTGAAATTATGTGTGTTATTATATAAGCAGTGCGCGACTAACGTATAGTGACCATTTGTAAATGAATATGATTTGGACAGCCGTTATGTGTATATACTTACATCAGTGTGACCATTCTCCTCAAATATTTTATCAAGCGAACGCATTTTCCAATGTTGTTTCTGACCTTTCACAGTTCTGACAACATCATCTGAGTTATATGCGTCGAGGCCAGTATTGAAGAACCATACTCTTTCAGAATGTTTATGGTCAGGTAAACCTATCCTGGAATATACATATGAATCAATAAAATGATTCTTTTTAGGTAAACTTGTTTTGACTGAAATGAATGTTTAGTTTCTGAGCAGAGGGCCGACGAATAATGTGTTTCATGTGTGACCGTCTGTTCTTTCACACGCATCTTCGGTCAGTTATATTGTATGACGACATGTTAGTTTAGTATAATAATAATGATCAAGAATGAGTATTGGTACGAGTACATGTTGAACAGCTATTTGTAAACAATAGATAACTTTGGTACTCAAACATCTGTATCTAGAATGAAATATGTACACATACATCAGAAAGCATTTGACTTTACTGAAGACCATCCATCATAAATCCTCATTTATTAAATTAAGATTGAGTTCAGTCAAGTAGATACAGCAATGAAAACGTCCAAACTTGGTGGATACATTATAGAAATTGTGAGATCTTATGGAATTTTATTTCCCAGATCAGAGTCTAATTGCCTAACTGGCGATCATTTTGTTTGAATGAATCTCTGACATGACCAATCATGTTCATTCTTTATATATTGTCGCGGAAAGGTGGTTGGCATACCCCTTGAAGGTGACATACTCAAGTGAACTAGCTACCGTAGTTTGATATCCATTGTAACTAGGTCATGATGCTTTTCTGAAACTGAATCTTAAAGATTGTAACTTCCTGTCTTGATTAATCGCCTGATGTAATTTATTACTTGACATGTATATCCTATTTTGGCGGATCAGTGACCCCACTGCCAATCAAATTGCTTTTATTTATATACGACCCAATGGAATCCCCGAACATTTTTGATTTATTTAGCCTCATTTTGTCTTCAGTCACACCCATAAAAATGCAAATGAATATAAATTGCTATAAATAAATGCTATAAACTGGCACACAAACCAGCACTCCTCGGTAGTTCTTGTAACTCACCCACAAGACCTCAAGATCAAGCCGACCCCTGAAGAACTAAAGGCCTTGCACTCCACAGAGCTTGGACAAAGAATATAGAAATAACTTTGGCTCTATACCAAGATAATTGTGCATTGGTTTGAGCAAAACGTTACAATATACATCATAAAAAATGTCACACATATTTAATTTACTTTGTTCGACAACCCGACTCAAAATGGCCAAATGGTGGTAATTCTTTTGTTTTGTTAAAAATGTATAAACATAAACAGTTACTATTGAGCGGCAGTGGGGATTTTTTTAAATATATAATAATAAATAATTCTCGAATGTGGTGTGCGCTTTCTATTGTGGCTTACATTCTACAGTATTTAGTGAGGGATTACAGGTGGCAGCCGAGCAAGCACCATACACAAACTGGTAATATGACTGAGGTTTAGGCTAGAACTGTTCCCTCAAAAAAACTATAACTAATTGCATATTGCCGTTGTTGTGAAAAAGAGGGTGCAAGATTGTTAATTTATGTATGAGAAATTCCAGAGTGTTTCCGTCTCCCACCAACGCTATTCCATACTTACGATGGGTCATGTGAATACACGTTACATCCAGACTTTGACATCTCCTCGTCGAAGGTCCAGTCTGTTCTGATTCTAATAAATACATAGATAAGTATGAGTGTTATTAGTTTTAAAGATGCTAATGTAATTTGCTTTAGCAAACATTTCACAAACGTCTCTTTCTTCTGATTGCTGGTTATACATACTTTATATTACATACATTGGCACAGTCAGTAAACTAATTTAAAAACTATGAGGTTATTGTCATGACATAGATATGACTGTATCGTTTTCATTATGTCAATATGTAACGTTACATAAATCGAAACAGTTCTAACGTCATTTTGTACTGACAGTTTGTTTCAAGTCTGAGAGGTATTTGGTAACAAATGCAATTTTTGGTTTGGCGGGGTATTTTACATTGTACATATGATAAAAAAGATGTGTTTCAAATATATAGGACGTTAGTAATCATACCCAAAAGAATACACAACACAGTCGTCGAAATTTGGCTTAATCTTATCATCAAAACACACAAACCACCCGCCATCTTCAGGTAGTTGAGTTCCAACTCGCCGAAAATTGTTGCAGTAAAAACGTGGCTTTTGGAAAACATTCAAATTATATATGAAACGTAGAAATTCTTTTCCTGCATCTGGTGCCGAGTTGTGTACATGCAGCGTAGCTGATGGTTTTTCCTCCGATACGTTACTTTGTTTCTTCAAGACGTTTGTTTCAAATACATGTCTCTCCATGGTCTGTAATGACAAATCATCACTTAAGTGTTATACTCTGATGGACCGCCCAGTATACAGGAATCAGTAACAATATCTCAATTTGATATTGATATCAATGTCTGCATTGCAAAAATCACGATTTCGTCACAAATAAAGTTGTAATCAACGACTCATAAAGTTCAGTAACCAAACATTTAATCGTGGACAACAGAAAAAATAAACAAGCAGTCAATTTGATTGAAGGTGCGAAACGGTGGAATCAATTCCCGATTTATATTTATATATGCTACGTTCAACTTTCTTATTATTGATTTGTCAGATCTATTATAAGCCTCTTGTATTTATATTATTCAGATTGCCGTGGAGTTTTATCATATGCTCTATCTTTCACCTTTACACCAACTATATAGCACTTTGGACCGAATCAAATGTCCATTATATTTTAACAACTCTGAACAAATGGCTAATAAGGTATGTGCTAAAATTAAACCTCATGCTTTATGAATGTTCATGTCAGACAGCACGATATACACGGAGTATAATAACTATATTTACCGAGGCACCATTTGTTGGTATAGATTTTTTCTCCGGCTGAGTGGCTTCACAATGGCACGTCACGTTTCTACTTCTGAGATCTATTAATTTGATTGAAAGACTTACTGGTTAGACCTTATTCATCAGCTCCCATTCCTCAGCTCCTAAGATCGAGGTTATTTGTTATGTTGGCGATCGCCGCTGTGCCTGCGGAAGTACTATGGGAGATTGCATGATGGGAGTGAAAAGCCTTTTGATCAGAAAAATAATTTTTCGAAAAGTGAAAACTAGAGTGACTGTGAAAGGTTGGTTTTAAATATTAAATATCGTGTGAATCTGGATGTAATAATGAAAGAAAATTGAACTGGTATGAAAAGGTAGTAAATGTATCCAGAATGCAATCCGGGGGTCAAAATACGTCACAATAAATCCAACAAGGCGGTTGCAAATTGTCAACAACTATGGATGCGGTAAAATACTTGATTTGCAGTTACGTGAATGGCCATGGACAAAATCATGCAAATTCTGTGCTTCAGTTACAGTATTTGCTGCTTTTTTGTGCAATGGAAACTAATACAAGAAATGCTGCCAAAAGACATGTCCCTCTAGTAAACAAAACAACCTTGGAACGTTTATCTTGAGAAATTGAGAAGACGAAAATATCTTGGGACAGTCGTTGTAAAATAATAGACATGTTTCTCCAGGTTATCATGGGTATTTTGATTATTTGAAGATGGAAACTGCCACTTTATGGAGAGCCAAGTTCAAAGTCATTGGCCACAGTAATGACGTTTTAGTGGGGTGACTCGCTAGAAGTATTCGCCGTGACTCCGGACTTTTCATTCGGGTTTATAATAATAATAACTTTATTACGCTCCTAAAAACCTTCAGAGGGGTTGTGTATGGTAAGGAATGTAAATACACAGAAATACAAAAAACATAAAATTTAAAAAAGAGAAAATAAAATAAAATGTTAGTCAAAAACAAGAAGAAATTAATTACTTTCTGTGGTTTTAAAAATTGTGCTCTTCAATTATTTTGATAATCTTTTTAAATATGGAATTCACATCCATTGTGTAAATATTTATTGAACACTCGTCAAACATTTTTTTTATTTGTTCTATATGGCCAGTACAAAATAGCAGGAAATGTTTTTCATCTCCTAATACTTCAGTGTTACACTTTTTACAATGTGTATTTTCTAATTTTATTTTGGGCTTTGTTCTTCTACCTAATTCTATTTCTAAGTTGTGGTCACTTAGACGGAATTTTGAAAGCATTTTCCTGAGGCGGGAATTTGAAATGTTTTGCAAATAATTTTCCATATTATAACTTACTTATAACTTTTCCATATTATAACTTACATAGATGAGTTGCTTTTAAATTTTCCATTTGGAGTATATATTGCCCCTAAATAGCAAAACTCACTAACAGCTGTTATGTCTTGGTTGCTGATTTAAAAAATCATGTTTTTAATCAGTCTGTTACTGCAATTAAATACATAACCATAACTATAAATTGCTTAATTCCGCAGGTGGACTGAAATCCGTCAGTTATACCCTTTGGCAATATAGCTTTATATTTAATATCCTTATACATATATTTGATTATTTCATAAAAGCCAATGCCAATGTTTTTGTAACTTGCTGTCGAAAGATTTTCTAAACTCAACAAAACAAGTGTATAAGCAATTGTCAGAACTGCTGCTTTATTTTTATTATAAATTGTTTTTTCAACTGCTGTTTTTAAAAGGAAAATTAAAATTGCAAAGGAAATTTGTCGCCTGATTTGTGTGGTGGAACAAGAATTGTAGATTTCCAGATTGCAGGAAATTTTCAACTGTCTAGAATACTTTTGAAAAGTTTCTGTAAACATCTCATCATTAACTTATTTTTGGTTTTCAACATTTCATTGGCAATGCTGTCATCAGCAGCTGACTTATATTATTTTTTAGTTTGCTGTCATGAATTTGTTTTTGCGTATCTGTTAACCGACTTAATTAGCTGATTATTAGCGAATTGCTGTGTTATGTCTGTCATCGTTTAGGTCTATTTGAAGTTTTGGACGGAACTTGGCTCAGTGGTTTGGAACTAATTACAAGATACCGTCGCTATTCTGACATCCGTAGTTATTAATGTAGTGAACGATTAATCAAAAGATATGACGTATTCAGTACTTAGTTTGATTGGCTTTATGATTGAAGGTTACGCCCTAGAGTCTTTTTACTGTTTTGTAATTGGTTAGAGTTTTGGAAATGAATAAAGAGAGTTTGAGTTGGTCTTGGCGAATACTCCACGATAGACGCAGTCGAGTGCAGTCCTGGGCAGTCGAGTCCAGTCCGAGAGAGTCCAGTCCAGGGGCGAGCCTTGAGGCAGTCCAGTCTTGGTCTTGGGGATTTTTTCCCCAGGGCGCTGTGTCTGATAGAGTGCTCGATTGACCGACTAAGACGAGAGCTGAAACGTATTTCGTTGTGTGTGTCTTATTTGACTGTAAAGTTAAAGTGACTTTCCCGATCCCGTACCTCAAGGGGACGAGATAGAGAGACGAGACGAGATTCCCCCCTGACAAGTGTGGAGAACCCCCGAGAGAAAAGAATTTTACCCCTGATATTGCTAACAGCGCTAAGAATTTCTTCCTATGTGATATTTGAGTTTAGATATTGGTTAGGAACTTGTTGCATTTCGTTTTCTATAAGATTATTGTTTAACTCATGATTGTTATTGTTTGTTTTATTAAATGATCAATCCATTTTTTTTCCTGATATTGTTGTGTCTTGACTTTTGGTCTTTTGATTACGTAGGATTTTCAGCACAGATCAGTACTCATTTTGGTTGGCACTGTCCATATATTCAAGTTTGGACACGAACATGTTTTTATATTCTCTTTTTTTATATTTTATTAGTTTTGCATAATGCTTTTTAAGAGTATATTGGTGATATACGGGTTGGTTGGTTGATTTGTTAGCAACTTAGAGGTACTAATTAATTCCCTTTTACTGCAGAACACGACTTATCAAACCATTGTTGTTTTGGAAGTTCATATTTTATTGTTCTTTTATTGGTTAATTTTTAAGGCAGTTATCCGCTGCATCAATTGATATTTTGTTGAACTGATCTGTTGGTTCATTGACATCACTGTCTATGAAATCATTGACCGGGTAGTTTTTGAACATTGTTTCAAAATTTGAGTTTTGTAACATGACTTTGTATTTTTGCTTTGCCTCAACGTCCCAAATAATTTTTTTACAGCGCGGTTTCAATTTATCCAAAAGATTTGTGTTCTTGGTGTGATTGTAATTTACAGTCAGTGAGAAACCAATAGGAAATGATCTGACAAGTAATTAATATCATGAATTTTAAGATATTATATATGTCTATGTAAATCCTGTGTGATAATGCAGTACTTCAACTGTACTTGAACCAGCCGGATTATGACAGGTAAAGTTGCCATTTAAATCACCTATATTCCTACTATTTGCTATTAAAAGATTATTTATAATTCAAAGTTCGACTAATTGTTTGCCAAACTTATTGTTAGTTTTATCTTGGGTGTGCTTTTTCAAAATTTTCTAAATTATTTGGAATGTGTACATGAATGTTATCTTCAAATGCAATGTAATCAATTATATTTCCAATGCGACTATTGAAATCACCTGTTATAATTACCTGGCTCTGATTGGAAAAAAAATGTTATTTCTTTTTCTAAAATGCCAAAGTAGTCAACATCTATGTATATACAACCCAAAGAAATATCATTTTCTAATGAGAACAATTCCTTGTCCAATTTACACCAAAGGAAGTCATTAATTTCAGATGTTATTTCACTCAGCCCTCCCCTCAACCCTGATTTAAACAAAATTGCCACTCCCCATAGTTCCTTCTACTTCTAGCTGATTTGCATTTTCTGTCTCTTTTAAAATAACTATAACTATCTAATACATCTAATGAACTACTACCTAGAATACCTAACCAAATCTCTTGTAAGCATGAAATATCAAATTTCTCTAAAATAGAAATATAGTCAGACTCTACACACGTGGCACCATGGCCGTGAATGTTCCAACTACCTACATTAAGATTAGTCTGCCTAATACTGTTGACAGTTGTTCTTTTCATCATTATTCTATTCTCCACGATACGGGGTTGTTTTTCAATGAAATGAAATTATATCAAAAAAGCTAAGAAGTTAAATATTAGTAGTTATAGTAGTCATGGTTTATGGTTGTAGCTATTGTTTGTCTGCCACTTTGAACGTTGACTGTATTTGTTGCCTGTGTGGTGATAGTTCCTGTTTGCATGGTCATCTTCATAACCTGCACTGTGATATTCATATTGATTAGTAGCTGCAGGACTGTAGTAAGAATCATGATGGTCATTATTATATCGTCGATGTGAATGATGTTTCTGGGAATTATCATAGTAATATGCATTGTCGTAATGGTTATTATGGTCATAGTAGTTTTCACGATTGTTGTATCTGCTATAGTACTGACTGAAATGATTGTATTGTTCATCACGGTGATTTTGGTTTCTGGAATTATTATCCAATCTGAACTTGGATGATAAGACTTGTGTTTGTCTGATTTGTGGTACTGCTGTTGATCATGACTACCAGAATTTCTCCTTTTCTGGTAATGAGAGTGAGTATTCCTCTGAACATGAGCAGTTGTGTGTTTGATGTCAGCTACTAGTAGACTGGTGCCTCTAATGTTAATATGGATTCCATCACTGGAATACATATTTTTAGCACTGCTTTGCTTTCTATGTTCCACAAATAAACAGTTTATAGTGTTATTGTTTTTAAGTCTGGTTAAATTGTTTATATCATCTATCACTATCTTGAACTGTGGTAGAATACATGGTTGATGTGCGAATTTTCTTCACCTTTTTATATTTATACATGTGATTAGTGTTGTTTTGTCATGGAATCTCCAATATTTAATATGTCAACACCCTCTAAATTATGATGCATATGTTGTTTCATGTTATCAAACTTGGCCTCTTTATTTTGTTTGTCCTCGATAACAATTGGTTCTGAAGTAGTAGGGACAAAATGTTTTATTTCAGCTTGTAGGTCAGTAAAGGAAGTGTTTTCGTCACTAGCACTCTGTAAGCAGGATTACCGATTTCGAGTTTCAATTGGCTATGTTTGAATATTCTTAATATCCTATTTTACCTTATCCATTTCTTGCTTCCATTCCTTAGAAAGTGCAACTTGTCGACTTTTTGCTTCTATTTCCAATCCAGTTTGAGCTTTCACTAGATCGTCACGCCACTTTTCACTAATATTAAGAAATTGTTGTTTAAGCTCCTTAAATCTCTGTCGCCATGGCTCTGTTTTTGACTCTGAGTGTGCTTATCTCTGTTTGTTTTCCTTAACCTTTGTTACGTTCTGGAATTTCTCGAAATCGCTGATTTTTGCTTTAGATTAAGCTCCAACTCGGCAAATCTATTTGATAAAGTGGTGTGTTTATCCTCAATACTGTGGATCAAACTGTGGATTTCAAACTGTGACATTTCTTGATTCCTTCGATGAGAAATGAGAGTACTTGTCGCCCTGTTCACTGTTTCCGTCTTTTCAAGATGGCGGCTTGTTGTTTATCTACTGCAAGTAGTCGATTGTTGGTAGTTAGTTGTCTTTGGCGTGATTTTTGTTGTCTTCATAACCACATTCATTATTATTATTATTATTATTATTTAAATTCAATAGCGACTTGATCATGGTGATAGAATTGTCTTCATCGGATTTTACGTAACTTAAGTTTGACGTGATTTCCGCTCTGTTCCCATTAATGATGCCATCGTTGTCTGTTCCGTACATTTGAATATACTGTTTTGCGTCTTCTAAAGTATCGTAGCCCTTAAAACAGTTGCCTAGATAACCATTCGCCAGTCGATGACATTCTTTCTAAGTAGTCATGATCCCCGTCTTCTGTTCAATTACAACTGCAAAGAACTTCATTATCTTCCCTTTCGACCATTTATATGTCGGCACATAATTGATGCAACTCGTTGGAGATGTAAGCAAAACGTTTGGTTCTGTTGTTCCGTACAGATCTCCCAGTCATGACTAACGTTCTCCGAGCTTTTTTTATATGTTTAGTGGTTGATCTACGTTGATTTGAAAAAGGTAATGAACCTGCAACCGCCGTATCGATTTGATTTTGAAGAGCTCACTCACACACGTGTTGACAGTACAACGCCATTAGCATTATTTATACAAGACATACACATTACTCTCAAGAAGGTTTAATGTCTTGTTTGTATTTACACAATGTGAATGAGGGGATTATTGTCAAAATATATACGGGTGCTTGAAATTATACAAAATTCTGTTTCATGTGTTAAAAGAACATTACAATGTTCTAATGAAATTTTTAAATATTGGTATCATTCCCAACTGTCACCAAACTATACGTTTTGAAGACTTGTATGCAATTGTAAGATTATATTTCAGTTATACTCGAATTAAATCTCAGCACTGTGCCATTTATTAATGTCGTGGTTTTGTTATAAGCAAGTCTCAGAAGTAATGGGGTAGCCAATTTGCAAACTGGCTAGCGAATTGGCTAACTGCCTGGGTTTTGACTAAAAAGTTGACTTTCGAATCTCGCTGATGCCAACTTGTGGTTGCGTCTACTCTGGTCTATATTGTTTTAGGTGACATAGAATGCTTTCACTTGGCCTGGTACGTGTTTGGATTCATCTGGACGATTTGCTTTGTTATGTGAGGCGTGATAATGCAAAATTAGTGCGAGTAATTTATAATTTATATAGGGGGGTAGCCATCTTAAACACGGCTTGAAACCAAATAAAGAGACAAGTTGAGAAACAGTTTCCTACAACTCAGGGAGAAAATAACATTTTCACATCCAAACGATCTGTTTTGGGTAACATTGAGTCAAAACCCAAACAGTTAGCCAATTCGCTAGCGACTTTGCAAATTGGCTGCCCCAATACGTCTGAGACTTGTAATAATTTTCTGGAAACTGTACAGCAAATCACATATTTTCATTATTTATTGTTCATAGTTTTTCTAAATTTCAGTTTTTATTGTTAATTATTATTTACAGTAATAAAACATTTTATTATATATGTGTGAGTATGTTTCATGAATTAATAGGCCACTCCTTTGCTTCAATTCCAACTATATCTTTGGGAATACCACTTGCTGTTTATCATCCATATTTTGATATCCCACAATGTCTGGTAATTCGAACTAACTACTCTTTCGCAAAATTTGCCCAGGCTTTCTTCTACTCCCATATTTTCCTTAACAATGAATGTTAATGCAGATATACAGTACAGTTAACTACAATGCATTTCCCTTACACTCCCTTGTATTACACAACGGTCTTTGTGCTGAGGCAGTTATGACCCACATCCATCACCAGCCCTCTTGTGTACGTTTGATATTTACATTTGTAGGGATACAGCGAAATGATTCTTCCACAGACAGCTCCACATGTGATTCTATCATATATATAGATTAGTCACGGCTGAGGTCAGAAATTAATTCCTCTGTATATGTTTTAGTCACGTTACCATTGTTTACCACTGGCGCGTTTTCATAATAGAACAAAACAAGAAAGCATTGGTTATCGGACAAAAGGCCACACGTTTGACCAGAAGCTAAAACTCGTGCGAGTTCTATAACCAATACTTTCGAGTAAATTTTATTTTGATTATACAACGAAAACACGATCAAATTGAAGGAGTCGTAAATCCAACAATTCATAGCACAACATATTTATATTCTAATTTTGTAGAGTCGAACTCACCATTTAAATACATACAGAAAGTGTTCCAAAATTTGAGAAAGCGAGCAGGAGACACAGTCTACTTTTTCACTAGCGTAATTTAAAAACACACATTCATAGTTATGTGCTGGTATTGGCACCCACTCAAACCTAAACATTGTTTTCTTTAATTTTTTTTAAAATATTTTTTGTGCCAGGCGACAGTTCCGGACATTTAGTGTCACTGTTGTCTCTCCTGACTTTTTTTTCTGTATTCCAAAGACGCATTTGTCAGTGAATGAATCTCGGCCAGCGGAATTGGCCTTCCCATTGAGTCTGTGGCACACTCACCCAGGGTAGGGGTCGACCCTTTGATGTTCAACCTAAGGTAGGTTTGAATTTGGGTCTACCGATCATGCGTCTGATACGGCAACCACTATGCTACCAGTGACCGGTGCAACCTAAGCGTTGTTTAAGAATTTGATAGTGACTGTAGCCATGCGAAGCCTGGTCGTAGCATACCTCTACTAGTCTTAGATTTTTGGCATCTATACTAAAATGGATTGAATATTCGGGCCGGTGGGGATTACCTTGAGTTTAGCAGGAGGAAGTCCTATATGTGGCACTCTCACATATCCCGTGGAGCATGTTTAAACATGCACGGCACTGACCAATTCTCACTTCTATACATCGGGTATGTAAAATGAAAAACAATATCTTACCAGTTATAAGTAGTAGACAAACACCTGCAAGTAGTATTGCAGATAAAGCCGCTGCAGAATTGGTTCGAATACTCATGACTATGTCAGCACACTACAAACGTTATAAACTCAATGACAAATAGTACGTATACTTTAGGCATATATGGTGAAACGTGGATATGCTAATCACATCAAAAAGTCAGTGGGTGTGTTCAGTAGTGCTTTCAAACATTCGATTATATTGATGCTAATTTATAACGAATGATTTGTTGGTCATTGGGGGCGCTAGCATTGACTAGAAACACATTTAAACAGTAGAGGCACAACAAAAAGTACAAATGAAGAAATTGAAAGGTACAAGGTTTACTTATTAACTAGCCATGGTTGATCAATTACATTTTACACACTGTGAAACATCAACATGTTTTGTTTTCTTTTGAGCAAATGGGAATTGATCGAATATATTTTGCACAGTGTCGTTCTTCAACTTGTCTATAACCAGCATTCTTGCCATTTGAAAGACAACTTAGTTCTCTATTGCATTGATAAATAAGATACGTGGATTGTGCAGTAGACCTTTAAATGAAACACATTCACATTCCATGCATAGATACAGTAATATTGTCATACATAGCGTCCTACGAACATAGAGATGTACACTATATGATTTCTTCAATCTGCCACACTGTGTGCATGCAAGACAATAGAAATAATTAAAATATCACCTATTTTTAAGAAAATTTAAAATATTTGCAGTAGAGAAAACTTGTGAAGTAACGCAGTGAAACAAGATCACTGATGAAACAGTTGATCAATTATTTTAATACTGTTACATCCAGTAAACACATCCCATCGGAACATAAATAAATAAAGAATGTTCCTAAGACGGATTGATTTATTTATGTTGTCAAAATAAGGACTGAAACTATCATTATTTGAAAAGAAATATTTGCACCACAAGAATAACAAACAAACCAAACAATACAGGGAGTGCAGTTTATACTGCCACTTGCTTACCATTCAGTCAGAAAAATGTGCCATCGTATCTTTTGAAATACACAGTAATTTAAACCAGACAAATAAGAACTCCCAACAAAATATGAATATCATCTCAAAATGGTTCAAGTAATAAATAATTAAGTTCGCTTAAACTGGTATTACTTTCCAAGCCAAAGTGACAGGATACCTTGTCATGTGGTATAGATCAATGGTTACGTCATGGCACAAGATATACTGGTTTCTCAAAACCTGAACACGTGTTTGATGTCGTGACATTTAACATTGTAAAAGAGCGTGTCCAGATATCTTGTAGACATTAAGTATATATTTAAGTCAGGAGGTGACTGTAAACGAAAACTTTAATCTTGTGACAACATTGAATTTTCTATTCCAGGAAGAAACATGGACAACATGCAACCTTAATTGGGTGGTGCGATTGAAATTTATCTTACCTCCATCTGTCCTAATAAAAATACAATACACACAATCTTGACGCGAATTCAGAAAGTTGCGCTCATTTCCGCCATTTCTAATACACTGAGTTATTATATGTTTGAAGCGTTTAACATTCACCTGGGCAGATGAACTGTGATTGTTTAAACATCACTGTCCTATGTGGAAGATACATATTGTACATTAATTTTATTCTACTGTACACATTGACCTATGCATGTATGTGTGTAAATGTAAATCGTTATAAGTTCACTAGTTGGCCATTTTGAATCAATTCATGAAACAACGCTAGAATGCACTTGCAAGCAAAATACACAAAACAGTCGTCAAAATTTGGCTTAATCTTATCATGAAAACACACACACCACCTGCCATCTTCAGGTAGTTGAGTTCCAATACACAAATTCAGAAAGTTGCGCTCATTTTCGCCATATCTAATACAGTCAGGTATGATATGTTTGAAGCGTTTAATATTATGAGTCTCGTAATATATGTAGTAAATAAATAAACAGTAAAATAGTTACTTCGGACTACTATATATCACGTAATATATGCCCTGTAATAAAAATGACCATGCTCAGCAAGCACAAGATATCTATATAAGTTCGGTATACACTTAAATCCTTTGTTTCGAAGAAAAAACATCATGTGCCCTTCTCCCAACCGTAGTCACGTAGTATTTTGTTCACAGTAAACGCGATCACGACTTCGCGGGCGAATTCATTTCCAATGAGCTTCTTTGCTCTGCCCCCGTTTCTCGTTTTAGTGCATTAGGTGTAATATTTATACTACTATTGTAAAGTAGTAATATAATGAATGTTTCGTCGATCAGCACTGCACGAAGTTTGCAATAGTGCAACAATGTTTCTGATTATTTGACAAACTAGTGTTCGAATTCAACGATTATTGCTGCCACATTACCTGCAACTAGCATAGTAAAATAAAAACAAATCAGGGCAAATCAAATCCCAATCGTGGAAGAGCGGGTGAAAGAGTGTGCTTGGCAGAGAATTTTTAAGAAAACCCTACCCCTCGAAACCAAAATTTACCAAAATACACCCTATAACATACTAAATATAACACAAGCTCATTTTCACTATTTCAAATTCACGGTATAAGGCAAGCCACTCTGTCTAAGAAGAAACACAATTTATAGACTCGTTGGGTGCCTCGCACACCCATTGGTAAGTTCCTACTCGTGCCCCGATCAGTAAAACGGGGTGACAAGCTCAGTCTGTATATTACTAGATGACAGGTACATCGCACTTTTCACTTCTCAAGAAGCACATTAAAAAAAACTCACCTGCGACATCCATTCACATCTTGTTCACTCAGTATCATGGCAGAAATTCACACCATAGTGTGTGCATGACCAAGTTAAGGTAAATTTGTAATCTCATACGTTTTTTTTTGTTTTTCGATACCATAGCTGTAACTTTACACCGAAACTCGACCGAACATGCAGGGCCCGTGTCTGGCTGACACATGGCGTCGGTATTCGAAATGCAAATTCGTTATTGAACTATTGTAAACATCACGCTGTACTTATTGAGTAATAATAACATTTCTGTGCACTCTCACTAAAACTGTCATTGATGACTATGTCGAGTGGTCGTTTTGCTCCGCTCAGGTGTTACCTGTGGTATATGTTTATAGGACACATTAAAGTGTACGACTGTACCCAATTTTCATTCCATTATAATAACATATACCACCAGAGGGCGCCTTTACTTATATATCAGAAAATGATTGATGATGCGAGTGACTCAATTTTGCGACGTTTAAAGTTTCTAGTTAAACGTGCATAATGTTTGTGGGATATAACAGAGTAATCACTGTATATCTCATATTCAATTTTTGCTTTCATTTTTTTTAATGAAGTGTGTATATACGTATAGATCTATAATATCATGATTAACATATCCACTGCATTTTATGCATATATTAAGGTGTATTAGTTTTTCTCAGGTTTTGAATGTAAAAAAACGAATAACCCAAATATCGGTCTTTAGAGAAGAGATTCGCAGTGGGGGGTCATCTGTTTTTTTTTTAAATATGTAAGTTTACGCTTCTATCATATAAAAAAAACACCTCATCATCGCAACTACGAAGCAGCCTCTCTTAATGAATTAATCAACCCACAACAGTTATGCGCTCATAATTATTCAGGCAAAAAACATCAATTATCTTTCTATTATATATCTATTTGAACTTGAAATCAAAGAAACCAGAACCAATTTCTTCTATCTCTCATATCCTCGACATGTCCTCCTTGAATTTGATTGAGTATAAGGGCAAGGTAACCTTTTACTATCCTGTATGATACACGAGATGACTTAGATTTTACCATCACAAATTTCCCCATCTTTGTAGTAATATCCCTCTTTCTCCTGAATATGGTACACACATTACCCAGCTTTTTGGATATGCTGGATATATTGGGACTTTGAGAAACTTCACACAGAACGCCTGCCTACACAGAGTTCTTTGCAATTTGTATGAATATACCAAAATTCACTGCATTGTGGCCCTAGTGAAATGTTAATTCATGGGATCGAGTTTATTTATAGATCTATAATATATATATATATATATATAGGTCTACGTCGTATTAACATGTCTATTTCGTGTTTTCAAAATTTGTTACCCGAACGTTTTAGCCAGTATTATTAAGTATTATGGACTTATTAAGTTTGGGTTGACAAATTTTTGGCGATTTTTGGTCTACTACTGCTTCACTTTTTTTAAATACGGCTGAAGCGACTTCTTTAGCTCAGCAACATGGGTCCCCCAAAAAGTACGTTTAGAAGTTCATTTTATTTTTTATATGTTTTACACATAAAACATTTTTTCGAGGTACTATGTAGTTTCTAGAACTTTGCAACAATAGATCGTCGAATATTATAAGGTTATTACGAAGATACCTCAAAGTATGCACGAAGACAGTACATCGGCAGTATCGACCGACGCGCAGCGTACTGTCTGAGGTATCTTCGTAACACAACTTAACACAATCGATTAATGTCCGAAAAATTATATTTGACGTATGCATGAAACCTAATTTCTCAAAAAACAAACAATATTAACAATTTTAAATTTCATCTATATACTTAATTAAAATATAATATAATGCTACTTGTGTTACAATTATTTGTTTGAATTAGTATCTTATGCGTAGCATAGAAGATACAATACTAATCAAAGAAAGCTTAGAAAGAACACCCGTGTGCTGAAGGTATTGGAGCCATTAAGTTAGCTTTTATTAGACCAAATACAGCATTTAATCAAAGAAAACTAAGAAAGAACTTCTGTATGCTGAAGGTATTGAAAACACATTACAAATTAATATTGAAATATTGATGAAAAGCTGAAAACTAATTATACAAATCAGGTAATTAATATGAACAGATTTGAGTGTAAAACTAATGTCAGACCATCTATGCGCCAATTTTCATTGAAATGTAATTAGAACCCAAAAATATGAATTATTAGGTAATTAATATGAACAGATTTTAACCCAAAATTAATCAGGCAGGTCTATTGTCCTAGAGCATTTATGTTTTATTGAAATGTGATGATCAGTATTTGAGATATCAGTGTGAAAGTTGAAAATTGACAAATTATGCAAATTAGTTAATTAAGATGCAAAAATGTTTACCCTCAAACAATCAATCTCTTCATAGTCCTAGAATACCTATGTACCACGTTTCATTGAAATGTGATTACTACTTGAAATACCAAAAGCTG